TCTAAAATTAAACCCACAGGCCACGACGCTAGTGCTGAGCTGCCATCCTCGGTCTGAGGACACACACACACACACACACACACACACACACACACACACACACACACACACACACACACACACACACACACACACACACACATCAAAACAACACAGCCTGGAGGAGAAAAGCAACAGACCCTCATTATAGAATGGCGTGACACTTTGCTACCTGCGCTATCTGCACTGAGGCTCATTCAGTCTGTACACATCTCACTTTACTGGACACTGGGACACGTGTGACATATTTTTGCATGCTGACACAAATGACATCACACTTTGACCTTTAAAAACTTCTTTTGTCTTTTAAACTCAGTCTAACAGGCAGCATCACTGAAAAGAATGAGTCTTTAAAGGAAATGAACCACGTTAATTTATTCATGTGATCTGCATATCCTGATTCATTCATATTTTATACATCTGTTTAAATCCATAGAGAAATATATATCGTTTTTAAATTATTCAAGATGAATGTAAAGATGATGTAATTCTGAATTCTTATAGTTTATATGCAGATTGTTTCTTGCCACTTGAGAAAGCACAACAAGCTGTAACACTGATATATGATCACAATTAAAGATGATAAAGCTAACTGTTCAATTAGACATCCTGAACACACATACCGGTAATCACTGATTATGTGAAGTTTCTCTGATCACATTGACTGTACGTTCAAAAAATATCTCTTAAATTCAATTTATTCACTTACTCCGTTAACAATTGAAATACCTGATATTTTCAGACTAGTTGGTAACTTTTTTTATCGGACATTTAGTCGCGACCAGGTACTGTAGAGAGGATTTGTTAAGCTAAACATTCAAGTCAATGGGCTCTAAAACCAAAATAATAACATGAAAGAGAGAAACTCTCAAAGCTTTCAGTAGTGATGAGAGAAACTCCCGTTGGTGATAGTTCTCTGTGGTTTCATCAGCACTTTCATTTTTACACATAATCATCTGTTCCATTGTTAACCCAAGACGATACATGATGAGCAGCTTTAGGTTCCAGAATAATTCAAAACATTATTGTGGTTCCTTTGTCAAAAGATTGAGCTGTTTGTTTGGTTTGTCAGTAAAAAGAGCACTCCTTGAGGTTCTGAGGGCACCATGCGTCTCTCACTTTGAGGTGTTCTGGAGTCCTGCCCCCCCTGCCCTCTGTCGACATCTCGTCTGTTTATTTCCAGTCTCGGTTCTCTGTCCCCTCCTCTTATCACCATGGCAGCAGAGCTGGCCTTAGCTCGGCTTGACTCTGTGCTGTCTGAGGGCAGAGGTGGGGTGGCGGGATGTCTGGCTCGATGTCATAGGGGGAGGCCGCTTTTGATGGGATCGGCCTTCGGCTCGTTCAAACAGGATGTGGAAAGGTCATTTTATTGCTCTGTTTTATTCATAGATCGCAGCTGCAATCAGCTGTTTGACACAAATGCACAGTAAGATTAAATTATGAGCCTGATTCTGTAAAGTCAGACTGTGGCTATAACATATGGGTTTGGTGTCATCAATACAACATGGTGCTGTGAAAGTGTAGCAGAGGTACGACTAGATATGATACGCAATACATGTCCCATAATAACGATAATATCACAATATATTCTCAAGAAAATCATATTTCCCAATGACATATCACGATATTAGATTAATTGAAGAATTAAAAAAAATGCCCCCGACAAGGTGAAGTGACTGATAAGTGTAATAATTCCCTGAAATTTGGTGTCAGTCTCAGCCTCTCATCACGCTTCATCTCTGCTTCTTTTAACCACTGTCCACTTTTATTTCGCTGTTTTCTCATTCTTCTTTTTTTCCTGCTCAACTCCATATTTGTTTTTATCAAAATTCTGATATTTGGCACCATCAATTTGATAATTGTATCACATAGGTCAGGATGATGATATATTGCCGTATCGGTATTTTGTTCCACACCTAGTAGCCTGATGTTAGTGTTTTCTTATATCTGGATTAAGATCCTTTTAGATTCAGGGGCTGTGTGAAAGCCAGATTTCCTGATATCATATTCTGAAAGAAATCAATATTCACCCATCTTTGAATTGTACAAAATAAATGTAGGTTCATGGAGAATTGCCTGAAAAATGTCTGAAATGTTTTGAGACAGGTTTACAGTTCCAGATTCAGCAAAATTGAATCTTGTGTAGCAAGACTAAATAAGAATCCTGAGAGAAAACCCATGAAGAAACAACATCTGTTGTGTGTGTGTGTGGAAATGGATTAATGTAAAGCCATAGTTAAGATTAGTTTGTGTAACCGTGCAGAGAGCAGTGTTCGTATCTAACCGAGTGAAAACGGCAGTGTCTCTCAATGGGGCCTCCACATCCTTATTTGGAGCGGCAGACTGAAGTCGATAAGCCTTTGCTAGGAGTAAATTGGATTGGCTGCTTCAATCATTTTGCCCATCGATTCCAGTAGGTGAGACCGTGATCACTGTGACTGAGTTTGAGGAGACGATTGGGTATAAAATGAAGGAGGGAGGAGAGAAGATGGAAAAGAGAATAGATCTAATGTAGGAAGCTTATTGGATTGGAGGAGAGAATAAGGGGACAGGATGGGTCAGGAAGGGACATGAGAGACTTATAAGGCATGGGCCCCAATTGCACTGCCAGGATTTGTCGAGTCATGATATGTCAGATCATAGGAAATGTGTTTACAGTTCTGGTTTAAAACATGGCTTGCTGGAGGATGTATCTATTTTCTTGGTGGAAATTTGTCAGGACACATGTATATATCATCTCTTGTGTCTGTCTGCGTTGGTGCTCCTTACCTTCAGGCAAAAAAACTCTGTGATTGGGTCTCAAAACAGACATGACATGACAGTGCGCTCAGAGGAGTTCAGAGAAAAGGAACAATCAGAACATGATATTCTTTCTGGCATCTCGGTAAGGAGAAACGGATTGCATAATGGAGAAATTCATCCAAGAAATAGCCAATTTTTACTCAAGATCCTTGAAGGCAAACACCACTATATCCATTTTATAATTCCCTCAAGACTATTCGCTTGTTATGTAACTTGACACGGTGTCCTTTTCTGACTGAACTATGAGAAGGGAGCAGTAGAGAAGGGGGGGGGGGCACAGGGTGTTTGGCAGGAAAAGAAGAGCAAAGGATGGACGAAAGGGCAGAATAGAGAAGATGGATAAAAGAAAAGGAAAGGTTAGGACGAGATAACTTTGACTTTTTCTTATTGCGCTCAGCCCCCTGTTTATTTGAAATCCAAACGTACACAAACGCACGCAAGTTGTGCTTAATACAAGAGATAATCTTAAGTTTTTCTTTTACTGTAGGTGATGGATAGGCTTTGATTTTTTTTTGGCTTTGAAGACTAACAAGACTCGAGATGCTCCGTTTCCAATCAGCCCCAGGAATGAGGTATTATTAAGTACGCCAATCAATGCATGGATCCAAAAATCAGTGAAGTACAAAAGAGTAATGTATTTAAATCCAGAAAGTTTTCATCAATATCCCCTTTTAGACATTAACAGCACCCCTTAATACCTTCTGACAATTTCCAGGTATAGGGTGAATATGTTCCCTCTCTGTGTTCTTTCAGGCCTTTTTTTTTGCCAGTCTCTGAGTAAAATATCCATTTAAAGTTGCTGTGAGCCAAAGTGTGAACAAACCAGGCAGTAGTCTGGAACATTAACTGCGAGCGAGTAGGCGGGGTGATGATGTTATTCATGTTCAGCAGAGATTTGGTGCGTTATACTCTACTTTACTTTTTTGCCTCAGCTGTCAGTATTTAATTCTCAACTGTTGCCTTGATATTAACCCAGAAAACAGCCATCTTTACAGAAGACTCCTCCTCATACTCAAGTTGTAAGAGCTAGTCCGACACAGATATTCTCCCGCTGTGAGGTGCAAGTGCCTGGAAATATCAAAGCCTGAATATCCTGCAATTATTTAGAAAAAGGGAGTACATGTATGAAAGTGTTTCTCTACTTTGTACATATTTTTTTTATGCATTGGTATGGCAGGCAGACTCAGTATGGGCTTATACTCAAGTCTAAGTGTGGGAGTCGAGAACAGGTTGTAAAATACAGTATCAGAACATCTATATGCATACAGTTACAGTCTTTGATTCTGACTCCACATGGGCTCCCGAGCCTCCTGACTCCATGTGGGCTCCCGAGCCTTTAAGATGACAAGCTCCTGAGATAGAACAGAAAAATGGATTAGTTATGGTAGGTCAGAAAGTAGGAGATGCAACAGGAGAGGCAAGGAGATAAATTAAAGAGAAAAGAGGAATTCAAATAAAAATTAAAGACAGTTTTTAACAGAGGAGAAAGCAGAGGTGGAAATGATTTGAGAAGGAAGAGGACTAAAGTAGACACGAAGAGAAAAGAAGAGGGAGGTATACTAGTATAAAAAAAAAGAGAAGAGAGAAAGGGATCAGGGAGCTGGGACAAGAGGAGAGACCCTGGTAAGAGAGAGAGAGAGCTCTGAGCCACGAGCTTTTGTGTCCATCAGTTTGGATTACACACTCCTACTTCTCAAAATCCTCGTTCACACTTTAGTTTACACAGCTTCAGTGTTTGCTTATACAACCCGTCACAGTTGTTTCGCTGTTCACAGTGTTTTAAGCATTTCCAAAGAGTCAACACACTCACAGATGATTATGTACTAAAAGAAATCACTCCTTTCACAGGAGTGAGTGTTTGATGAGATGGAAAGATATCCCGGTGTGTAATCTGTGGTGTGACGGTGACAGAGCGAGAGACGTTCAATTTGAGAAGGATTTAAGCAGATTATAAGAAACCAAACATGTAGGAGGAGGCCTATTGTGAAGTCAAATATGGAGGGAAATATGTATATTGAACACTCTTTGTAGAAAGCTGATTAGAAAAGATTAGACTTTGCCGTCTGGTTGGTTTAATGTCTTGATTGTGTCCGCAAAAGGAGAGCAGAAATATCTAAACTGTAACACTAAAACTGGTTTTCTTTTTTCTGTTTATACAGATAGAAGAAAACCCAGGAGAAGAAGCAGACAGCTATCCAGAGAGGAGGAGGAGAGAGAGGGGGACTCTGCAGATTTTGGTGGTAAGTTGGAAACATTTCTGTCAAACTTTGAATCCATTTCCCCCGACAAGTTCAAGCTGTTTCCAAAACAGCGTGAACTTCCGACTTTACAGAATCAAACGTTCTTGTTCTGCTCAAAGGCATCCCTCTTCCCATAGGATATGAACACACACAAATGTCAGCCTGTTTGCCATGGCTGGCATGGTCTCCAGTCCAAATATCTTCATCTATGATACTGTGTGTGTCAATAACAAGACTCTCTGTGGAGCTGCTGAGTCCCTAAACGACTCCCAGGCCTTTCCACTGCTCCGACTCTTCCTCTTTTCCGTCTCAGTTGAGATGCCTGCTCCTTTCTTCTCGCTGTAAGGCAAAGGTCACTGCTTGCTTGATTGGCGTTCTTCCACTGGCAAAGTGTCGGCAGCCATTTTGGCAGCCAGGTTTGGCAGGGAATACAAAACAGGACACAGTGTTTCTAGTGTCCAACTGTCTGCTTGATGCATATGGTTGTTCAGGTAGCACAATCTCTCTGTGGGCGTCAATACTTGAAAATCACAAAATTGCACTTAGAGCTTAAATTGCGCCGGGTGCTCCTCTGTTATTGACTCATAATGTGTCGTAATGGAGCACGCAGAGGTAGATAAGTTCCCTAATGGTAGTTGCTCAATTAAAAGCAAGAGTGGCTTGCAGCGTGCATTAGAGCCCAGAGCACTGACTCCAAAGGTTGTTTTTTTTTTTGTAAGTGACCCTCAGTCACCTTTGGCTCGTTCCCTCATGCAGCGGTGCTGAAAGTGTGTCTGTGATTCAGCGGGGAGTTGATCTAATGCATTGGGAGAGGAGGTGACATGGTGTGATGTGTGTCCACCGCTCAGTTGAGTGTGAAGGAAGGATCCAACCTCGGCCTCGTGCATGCCGAGCCGGGCGGAGAGAGTGAGGCTTCACACACAACCGAGTGGAGAGATAAGGGACTCTGACGGCTCTGGGCTCATCCGCCTCCGCTGCGGGTGCCATGCTTATGTCATTTCTATTGGTTTATCCATTTATTTGCCTATTTTCTATCTTTTATTTATCTCTGAATCTCTCTCTGTGTCTCTCTCTCTTCGCCTCGCTGCGGCTGTCCGCTGTTGTTGTGAAGGTGTGCCGCAGGCCAGAGAGGCTGAGTCCACAGTTTTCAATGGCCGACTCACACAGGGCCACACTCAGGAGCTGCAGACTGAATTTTTAGGTTCAAACACAGCCAGGCGTGAAGCGTGCTTTGTGTGCGGCTGCATTCAGGTCCCAGGCTCTTCAATGGAAGGCCGCAGAGGTTTCTGTTTTCCCTCATAGTGTTGTCTCTCACAGTTTTCTCGCTCACGTGGCCATCAGGGAGCGTGCTGGTATTGTTTGTGTTTGTATGTTTTTATGTAGCAGGGAGAGAAATAGTCCCTTCTCTATGTCCGTGTTGATTTTAACAGTAAATCTCTGAGACAAAGTTACATAATGCATGTACAGTGCAGTCAGATGGCATTAGTGAAATGAAGTAAAGGGCTGACTCTCACTTTGAAAAGAATTTGAATCCATATTGTATTATTGAAAATCATCAACCCGACCACATTCCAGCTCATCATGTGTTTCTCCTGAAGACCAGACTGAAGGCAGAAAGCCTCTGAAACAAGCGAGAAGTGCAGATGGCTGCAGCACAGGCCTGGCAGAGCAACAAGAGCAGGATGCCAACTGTCTACTGAAGTCCACGGGTCATAGAAGCAGGCCAGACATTCACTGGCAAACACATTTTAAATATGATGAGAGATTTCAAATAATAAACAACGCTAGTATATGACATTTAGGTTGTTTTTTTTTAAATGTCATTCCACTGCTCTCCTTTTCCCTTCCATCTCTCTCTTTAAAACACTTTAAATATACCACTAGCTTTATCATAAAAATGCTTTTTTTTAAAAAAAATTATAGATTTGCAGGCTTTTTGAGATTTGCGAAACACATCGCCATAGATAGTTGTCATTTCAACTATTGGCCTCCTTTTTTTGACATGTTTGGCTTCTTTAGGGACGCTCATATTCTTAAAGTTGTAACTACATTTGGAGTTTGCATTTAAATATGGTGATAACTTACACAGTCTCTGAGACTTTAATGGAAGTTCAGGTTAGATAACTCCATGACACGTCTGAAGTAAGTTCTTAAGTGGTGTAGAAGGTGATTTGAAGATTGAAAATTGGACTGACTGTGCACCTGACTAACCTTTCCATAAGTGTGTACATGAGTAGTGTTGTTGTCAGTGTTATGTGTTAGTGTACAGTGTTATGAGCGAAGCAGAAACCTTCTTGCACAGTGTTAGAAAGCATTGACATTACACAGCAGGCGCCCTGAGATCAGACGCTCCGCAGATGAGCGGAGGGCTTCGTACAGACGCAGAGGGCCCCTGGGCTGCTCCCAGCACCCTTCGTTTCAGATGAAAACATTGAGATATTTCTGAGGTGTCTCTTTGATACGAGCCTGACAATTCTCTGACGGCTCTTTGTGTCAACACTCCTGTCTGCACATGTTATGTTTAAGAGAGACTGTGCGAGGAAGAGGCTGGTGTGTGGACGTGATGGAGGGGATTGTGAGTGTGTTTTTCAGCGAATGACAAGAAGAGAAAAGACAGAGGGGCGCAGAGAGACGAAGCTAAAGTGTCAGAAAGAAGGACATGAATAAACAAACAGATGAATAGATGCATACAAAGACAGTGAGGGAGAGAGAGAGAGGCTGAGTGATGTGAAAGAGGTTGGTGAGGCCCCTCCTGAGGGGCTCCTGCTCTCTGTCTTCATCCTGCAGGCCTGTGGAGAAAGTCAGCTTCATGCACAAATGACTCACAAACGTCACAGCCTGGAGAGTCTGAGCAGACTATGTTCTATATCTGGCTCTCTGCATCAACATTTATTTTGCTTTTCACACCTCCTCTCACCTTCTCTCACCTGCACAACCTTCCTCCAGGCCTACTTTCACGACTCATCCTCTGTGTGCAATTATCTGGCCCAGCACTAAAGATTCCCCCTATTCGCAGACACTGCACAATGCATGTGTTTTCATACCTCTATATTCGTTTGCCTGTTACTGATGTGACAGGTTTAATTTTTTTTAACCCAAATTTTATTTCAATACAAGGTGAAACCATGACAATTCCTTGCTCAACATTTTTCATAAAGTTCCATAATGAGACAGATACCACTCCTGTTTCTCCAAGCTAAATGATCAGCTAAAGCCAGCAGTCAGTTAGCATGGGATAGCATACAGACTGAAAACAGAGGCAACAGCGAGCCTGGCTCTGTCAAAGGAAAAGTCCCAGCAACCCAATGGAGAAGATAAAGCTAACTAGGCTATGTGCGAATGTTACAGACTCCCTCGTAAGCAACGAATTCGAAGTTTAATAGCCGACTTTAAAAACTTTTTTTTTTTTTTTTAAGGAATTCTGTGCTAGAGCTTTGCTTGGACAGAGCCAGGCTAGCTGTTTCCCCCTGCTTTTAGCATGTATGCTAGGCTAAGCAAATGATCTCTGACGTATAACGAGTGAGTGAGAGTGGCGTCAATGTTCTCATCTTAACTCTCAGCAAGAAGGCATAAGCTTATATTTTCAGAATGTTGAACAACAGGATTGTAAAATAGTGGTCCAGTTCAAAATGTATCTCGTGTTTCTCACTTGAGCTAAAAGAAAAATATGTTCAGACAGAATAGATGACTAACCTCAAAGGACGGATATATATTTTAAAAAAGAACATGTACTCAACTTGCCTTTCATGTTTTTATTCTTTATTTAGACAAAGTACTGAAGAAAGAAAGAACCCAGGTTAATATAACATCACAGGAACCATACAGTAACAACTAAACAGTTTTACACCATACAAATAGAACATACACACACACACACACACACACACACACACACACACACACACACACACACACACACACACTCACACTCAATTTGCATAAATTCCCTACATTTTCACAATTTTTCCTTTTAGGTGAAGTCTACATTTGGGCCTCTATAATGTTCATGCATAGTTCCCAAAACTGCACAAAAATATTCCCACTTACCTTAAAGTCTACGGTTTTTCTAAGGTTGTGTAAAAATCATAGTGTATGTCGGGCATCCATAATCTTCCAACAATTGACCATAGTGAATTGTTTTATTGTTTCACTTTGTGCCTATGGGTTTCATTATAAAGTAACGTTAAAGGATTGTGCTCACACTGTCAGAAGCTGGTGGATTTCTGTCTGTTGGAAAAGGCCTTCTAACAAACCCAATGATTTATGTGGCTGTTAGGCGTAGGTCCCGGTCCAAGGCCAAGTCTATCTGCTCATCAATATAAACAGGCTGCTCTCCGGGGTTGTGATGGAATACAAATGGCTGAATTTAGATGTAACCCCTCGCTCACCTGCACCTCAGCCTGCTCTAATGAGAAATCTCTCTCCGCACCTGCTGTGAGAAAAAGAGAGAGAGCGAGGGATTGAAAAAAAGATATGAAATTTGGAATCAGAAAGAGAGGTGTATACAGACCTGTGGATTTCTACTGTTTGATTAATTACATTCACCCTGTAACTGCTGACTATGGCAGCAACTAATGGTTTATCTCTAACAAATCTGATTAGTCAATTGATCTTATTTTGAAAATAAATGATGATCATGACTTCTACTATTCGTTCAACCTTTTACTAAAGTGGTCTTAGAATTGACTTCAGTGTCTAGTGTAGGCTAGAATTAGAGATTAAAGTGCATATTTATCTACTGAAGATAAACAGCCTCCAGTGTAAAACTAATTATAAATGTATTCTTTATTGTAATGTAAGCGTAACGTAACCTTGATGTAAATCTATAGGTGGATTTACAATCTGCCTAACACTTGCAAATTCCCCAGAAAGCGGTAATGCTGTTCTGCCATATAAATGCTCTAAAGATGAGAACACTGCTAAGAATGCTAATTAAAGTCGCTGGATACCAAACCATAATTAGACAATACTCATCATTCCAAATAATAATGCTTGTGTGT